CCCTCAGCTAAATTGTCGTTTTCGGTTCCTTAGGATCCCTCTCGCGCCCACCTGTAACCATCATTATTCCTCTTCTTTCTGCTTGAGTCGACTCCTCCATTGCCACTCCGCGTTTAACTCGTGGGAACCGTCACCAGACTCCTTTCTTCTTATTCATTTCGTCCTCTATTTCCTCACCGGCCTCTAATTCCCCTCACTCCATCCCTTTTAACTTCATTGAAAAACATTCCTTAATCACCAATACAGTTTCCCCCATTAATTCTGCTTAATTAACCGCCCTCTTAAACCCTTGGTCCGTTACCCGTTACACCACTCGACCGTTGCCAACCAACCTCTTCAGCCCCAGTTAACTCCTTGTTCTTTCGTTGCCTCTGTTTAATTTTTTGTTTTGCTTCCGATCGAGAGGAAAACGATTCCTCTTCTTGCAAGCCACCCTAGGCACACTCTTTTTCTCTCTTTCCATGGTCGGGCCACCATCCCAACTTCTCATTTTCGCCCTTTTCAACTATCTTTTAAGCCCATCTCCTAATTATTTCACCAACTGGCCACCCATGACAACAGGACTAGGGCCACTAGGCCCAAATCTTTGATTGGGTCTTGATCTAAAACTCACATTACGTTCTTAACTTCCTCATTTCACGTCGAAATTCGACACCGCTTGAACCAAGAGTTCATATTTTTAATCTTCATCAATATTATGGTGGAACTTGATAAATTAAACCAAGGTTATAATGGTCTTTTCAACTTAGAAAAAGATGGGGTGTAACATGTAGAACAAGAGAACCCTACCCCATAGAGCTCTCGTGGTGAGGATGATCAAAACTTTGAGGACTCGTTGGAGACTCTCATAACTTTCCCCTTCCTGAGAATAACTTTGAAGAAAAGGATGCAAAGGAGAAGAAAGAGGTTGAAATGAAGGAAATGACCATTGAAGAGGAGGAAGAACTTGGTTGTTCCCACAGGGAGGAATCAAATTCTGAAAAAGGAAGGGAGGTTGAATTTGAATTTAAAGATGCAAGTGAGGCCCAAGATGAGGACGATATCGTGGAGGATGAAGCTTCGACCAATTACAGGTGCTACGGAAGCACTTTTGCAGAAGGACCCATTTGCGACTTTTTGCCAAGCCAAGGCCAAACCATCATCGATTCCTCTTGGTGGATGCAAAGGCGGTCAATCCATAATGTCTTACATGGTTTGGGGCAAAGAGAAGAATGATGAAGGAGATAAGGAGAGGTCTCAAGGGCATAGGATTCAAATCACTCAAATACATGAGTCGTTATGAAATAAAATTCCATATGCTCATGACTTGAGGTGATATGATCCCAAATGGTCAACTATGCACGTTTAAATTACTTGACGGAGAAGCTATCGAAGTTGGGAAGAAGAAGGGCAGAATTTGGCTAAGTCAAAACCCGTGTTCAGGGTACATACTTTGGAGGCATAGTTCTCTCAATTGGCATGGTGGAAATTCAAGTTTAAGAGTTTGTTTAGCAGATAAAGTTTCCATCTTTCCAATGGTATGCTTTGTGGATCTAGATAATGTCATTAAGGTTGTTTTCCAAGGCCTCGAAGTTGGTACCTTAAAACTGGAAAACTGCCAGAAAATGGTTCAAGTCTTGAAACTGTTTTGTGAAGCCTACTTTGGAGCTTAATTCGAGGAGTATGGATGTGATTCAAGTCCAAAAGCTTCCACAACATGAAACTAGGTATGTTTATGTACAAAGGGAAGGAATTGGATGAAGGGTTGGAGTTCTGGAAGGCCTCGAACAAAAGGCGCGAAGTTAGTACGAAAGCTGCGTTAGGACTGTTTGCTGGCAGCTTGCTTGCGCTTGGAGAAAGAGAGTTTAAATCCGAATTTTGTGTCCTTTTTAGTGTAGACTTTTACCTTAATTTTTTCCTAGTTCTATTAGGTTTGTATTAGGTTTTTAATGTCTTTAAATAGCTTTCAATTTACGTTGTAATGGATAGATAGAAGATTTGATTGAATTGAATAACAAACAGAGTGTTTGAGTTCTTGAGTTGCGTCTCGAGAGTTTTACCATTGTCATTAGCTTCGAGTGGATTCCTTAGCTAATTACAAGACCCTTGTGAGGCTTTCTGAGTGGATTCCAGAATCGTTTAACAAGTTCTCTTATCAATCGATTCTTCACCTCGATTGTGGCGAGAATTCTACCTATCCATCATCTATCGTTCGAGTATTCTTGGTTGCGTATTCTGATTAAAAACAAAGCACCCCCTGGTGCTTTATCATGAGGTTCCATCTAAATGACGAGAACCTCAACTTCAAGGAGATGATAGGATGGAATGAAGCTTAAGGATCTTAAGGAGAAACCGTCTAGCTTATGTAGTAAAAGTAGCGATTGTTGGGAGGCAACCCAACGTCGGTTTGTATTTCTTTTTCCTATTTTCCTCTTTTTGTGTGTATGTTTGAGTCATATGGGAGAGTTTTGAATGATCACTGTGCCAGGTTTTATGTGATTTAATGTTTGATTGAGTTGTGTTTGAGTTAGAGGTACGATTGAATCGAGTAGGAGTTGAAAATTATCGAAATGCCCTGTTTTGCGCATGTCACGGTTTTTGCGTAATTGTCATGGTTCGTAGATAGTGACAATTACACCAAGGCAGTGACATTTGCAGGAACACTCCGTTTTCAATTTTTTATGGCCTCGGTTAAATATCACTAGCTGGCGCCCATGACTTTTTAACCAAACGTGACAACGGCCCTGTTCAAAGGGGAGTTCTAGTGTGTGTGTGTGTGTGTGTGTGTGTGTGTGTGTGTGTGTGTGTGTGTGTGTGTGTGTGTGAGAGAGAGAGAGAGAGAGAGAGAGAGAGAGAGAGAGAGAGAGAGAGAGAGAGAGATAGAGAGAGATAGAGAGAGCTTGAGTGATCTTGGAGCTTAATTTGAGGCATTGTTCAAACTTGGAAGCAAGGATTCAAGCCTAGAAGAAGAAGAAGAAGATCTTGGGCTTCAATTTGTAATTTCTCTCTTCTCTCTCTCGAAACTCGTCCCTTCTCTTGGGTTTAAGAACCCTACTTCTTGATAAAATAGCTAGGTTAGTGGTTAGCTAGGTTAGTTAGCTTAGTTCTTCTAATCACCACCCTAGGTTGGCTAGATAACGAACTCTAAACCTGAAGTAGGGTAAGCCTAGATCCCCGAGGTACGATAAATTGAAATTGCTTGCTTGCCCTATGCCACACCCGGTCGGTGGTTATACTTGGTCGTCGATCGGGATGTTGTAGTTAGAATGAGTCAACATGTCACACCTTTTTTGTTCCTGCGAAGATGTGCATAGTATTATTCTTTCTAAGTAGAATTGGAAGGTCTGTTTTTTATTGCTAATAAACTTGCATCTGCAGTATCAAAAAGCATATATCTTCTTACATCTTTATCTTATCTTACATCTTATCTTACAAATAATATATGGAGGTTCCCATTGAGAACTCCCACAATTCAATTTTTTTTGCCTCTCCGCACACTAAGGAAGGGCTATTTAGTCTTTTTATTTATTTGGTTGTTTCGCTACTAATTGTCGGGTTAATATGTGAATAGTAACAAATTAATTTGAGGTTTCAATAAAAAGCTTATTAAACTACGGTATCATTGTATTCTATTCAAGCTCCACTACTCTACTTTAGTTGTAATAGGAATGAGAGTTGGGATATCCATACCCGTTTGTATCCCACCATGTGTGTATATAATTTAATAAAAAAATATTAGAATGTTAATTTTTATTAAAATCAAGAAACAAAGTATAACTTGATAAAATATAGTTAAGTTATTCAAGCAATTGAAATTCTCACTTATTTACAACTTTCTTATTGCTAAATTAGAAATCAATAAAAATAAAATTATATATAATTTAGACAAAAATAGGTAAAAACTGGAGGATATCATAATGAGTAAGGTTGATACGTTACACCTGCCCACCCCACATAAGGGGTAGGTATTGCCCACTTTAAAATAGGTCAAATAGACCCGATAAAATAGATTGTATCAAAGTTGTCATCCCCATCTCACATCTTAGTAAATATATTTGGCCCCATAATTCTTTTCTTAATTATGAATGAGTTACAACATTTAATTAGTTCCACGAAATGAAGGCGTTTCTAATTGTAGTAAGTTCGACCCATGGAACAACATTTATGGAATGCAAAATTCATGTTTTTTTGGTAGAAAAAATTTATGGTTTAGTCATGATGAATTGCTCTAATAAATTGTTCTTCTCTAAAGATAATCAACTATAAAGTATGACCTTAGAGTTTGGTCAATCAAACCACGTTAACCAATACTCTGAAAATGCTCTCAACCGCGCTCTCTGAAAATCCAGCTCCGGCGTCGCCCCCCTTCCCCCCCGGCCGGCCTCAGGACTCAGCGTTGACTCCTATGACAAACTCTTTACCTGCTTTAGCTTTGACGCCACCCCTGATCGCCTCACCATCTGACATGCTCATCGACACGAACGTTGTCTCGGTTCAGCCCACCCCTCAGACGAACGTGGGTATGTCGGCCCCTATAGAAAATCAAGCAAACGGGAACCAAGGCCTGACCCCTCCCGAGATGGCGACGACCCAACCACGTTTTTCTTATGCTGGGGCAGTGACAGGCTGGAAGACATCAACGCAGCCTCAACCTCTGATCAGTCAATGGACTCCGGTGGGGGAGAATGACCTGATTCCAGGGGAAAGGAATGGGGAACCCGCCCTTAACGTGTCTTCCAGCTTCAAAACCAAGATTTGTGCACCGTGGCTGCACATATTTCTGGTGTGGCTGCTCGGCACCAAGATTGGCTTCTTCACGCTCTGTTCTCAGCTTCGAAGTCTCTGCCGACCGATTGGCACCAAGATTGGATCTTCATCATGACTGCTTTTTGGTTAAACTCGGAAATGAACAAGACTATTTTCAAGCATTGACGGATGGACTGTGGGTCATCTTTGATCACTATCTGGTCGTGCAGCAATGGACACTAAAGTTCAAGGTCTCCGACCCTCTCCCCAAACCAATGATAGTTTGGGTGCAGTTACCAGCTCTGAAGGTTCATTTTTACCACAAAGAGGTGCTGACGATGCTCGGAAACCTCATTGGACGAACCATCAGACTCAATTACCATACTCTCAATCTTCATCGTGCAAAGTTTGCTAGGCTGGCTGTGGAAGTGGATTTAACCAAGCATCTTGTGCCTCGGATCTGGTTGGATGACGCCTGGCAGAAAGTGGAATACGAAAACCTACCGGAAGTTTGTTTCGATTGCAGGAGAATTGCCCATTCATCAGAACTCTGTCCTCTGAACAAGACGGCGGCACCTCAGACGGTTCGTGCTATCACCGGCAGTGTGATCCAGCCAGGTGCGGCGGAGCAGACGGTGGAGGAACCCAACCCAAGTTTTGGGCCCTAGATGTTGGTCACCCGGAAAATTCAGCGTAATTAGAGGGATAACGCCAACAGCAAAACAGAAAGCCAGAGGTTGATCAAGGCCAGCTCTCTGGCAGAATCAGAGCCAGTCAGGGAAAGAGCGGATCTCCAGTCAAGGAAGGAGTTTCCTTTACTACCCAACCGACTCTTTCTACAAGCAACACTCAGCAACGGCCTCTAAATCAAGAAAGGAAAGCGAGTCCGGGGAGGAAGGGAGGAGACGAGGCGAGGAAAGGAGAAAATTTTGATTGACCACAACGGGCAAGGTAAATGGATTCTCAGCTTGGGGCCAGAAAGGCAGCAATCTCTGAAGAGTGGGCCGAAGCCCACTGCTGATACAAATCATGCCTCCACTTCGGGCCCGACTCCTGTGCAGGTGACTAACCCTGGCAAGCCCATGAAAACCCTCCAACTCCCCGCTCCTCCTGCCTTCCAAACTCTGACAGGGCCCAATGGGATGCAAATAGTGGACCTCCGAGATGCCCCGCCTAGCAAACACACCGCCGCGATCTCCTCTTCGCCCTCGGCTGCTTCCAGAATGAAACGAAACAAAAAATAGAAAGCTGATCAACGCAGATCACCCACCAAACTCAACCCAATGAAAAGTCTCCAAATTTGGTCCTCAAAGAAGGATCGTAAGACAAAATCGAGACCAAGGATTGTCACCCTAACGATGCAAGAGATTGTTGCTTGGACGAATACCACGAATTAGGCTTCGACCAATCCGGGAGCGCATCAATTAGCGGCTGAATCGGAGGAGCTATCAGCTATTAGCGTGCCGATTGAGCAAACAGACCACACCAACTGATGACCTCTCTCTTTTGTTCCTCTTTCGCTGCTTTTTCTTTCCTTTCTTTCCTTTATATGCCTACGTCGACTCTCACTAACTTTAAAATTTTTGCGTGGAATGTCGGGGGTGCAGGGAACAGAGCTTTCATCCGATCGCTGAAGTTAGCTATTCAGAACCATCATCCGGATTTTTTCATCCTTCTCGAACCACAGATTAGTGGCACGACAGCTAACTCTGCCTGCGATAAGCTGGGGTACCCGAACTCTTTGTGGGTGGAGGGCGATGGTAGGAAGGGTGGTATTTGGGTCTTTTGGGACGCGCACAAGTTCTCAATGCATCTAATTTCAGTCTGCAATCAGCATATCTCGCTGCGGGTAGAGTAAAGCAACTGTCCTCCGTGGGTCCTGACTGCTGTTTACGCTTCGCCTAGACCCAGTAAGCAGCGGGCGCTTTGGAACAACCTCCTCATTCAAAGTAACCAGATTGATACCCCTTGGTTCCTCACGGGCGACTTCAATGTGATCCGCACTCCGGAAGAGAAGTCGGGGCCTCCTGTGGTGAATACTTTGAGGAGATCCCGCATTTTTAATGACAGGATTAACATGGTGGAGTTAATCGATTTGGGCTTTTCGGAGCCTAATTTTACCTGGACCAGGGGTGACCAACTTCTGACGTACATGGCGAATAGGATCGACGAAAGCCTATGTAACCTGCTGTGGAACGAAGTGTATCCCAACACTACTGTGATGCATCTTCCTCGGCTTCAATCTGATCACAATCCTCTCCTCACTACTGTCTCCTCCCCGAGTGCGGCCACAACTCCTGGTCGGCCTTTCTGTTTCGAGGCGGCCTGGCTTACCCATACCAACTTCCAAGACTTTGTTGGCACAGCCTGGGATACCAATGCTCCTCTTCACAAGGCCTTGTCTATCTTGAGGGTAACCTCAGGGAGTGGAACATTAATGTTTTCGGAAACATTAAGAAGAGGAAGAATCGCTTACTAGCTCGCCTAAAAGGGTTGGAAACAAGGCTAGTGATCTCCTTCACGCCAGGTTTGGACAAACTTCACTCTAAGTTGGAGGCTGAGCTGGACAAGGTTCTTGACCAAGAGGAAATCTTATGGTTTCAGCATTCAAGAGATCAGTGGTGAAATTCGGCGAGCGCAATACGGCCTACTTCCATCAGCAAGCCAACACTAGGAGGAGGCGCAACAAGATCAAAGCTTTACGGGATGATAATGACCTCTGGGTGAATGACCCCCAATCCCTTGCTCTTTTGGTTTTCTGTTTTATTACTAACCTCTATGTGCAGGAGTTGTCGGTCTATGAGGATAAACTCCCGAAGAATTCCTTTACGAGGCTGAACCAGACAGAGCTGATGCAGTTGTTAAGACCCTTCACCATCATGGACATCCACATGGCGGTTTTTGAGATGAAGCCCTTCCAGGCTCCTGGACCTGACGGGTTTCATGCCGCCTTCTACCAGCAGATGTGGAGGATTGTCGGCAAGAACCTCACGAACATGGCGCTGTCTTTTTTCAACACCGGTGTGCTCCCGGATTCTATCTCCGAGTCCACCCTGGTCCTCATCCCCAAACTGCAGATAATATAATTGTGGTTCAGGAGGTCCTACACTCTTTCAGTAAAAGGAAGGGGGAAAAGGGAGGCTTGATTTTCAAGATTGACTGAGAAAAAGCCTATGATCGGCTTTGCTGAGACTTCCTGAGAGACACTCTGAAGGAGATTGTGCTCCCAAGCTCCTGTATTAACTGCATCATGACCTGTGTGGAGCAAAACAGGATGCGGGTTCTTTGGAACAGAGAGCTCTCTCAGCCTCTTTCTTCATCCCGCGGAGTCCGTCAGGGAGACCCTCTCTCGCCCTATCTTTTTGTTCTTTGTATGGAGCGTTTATCTCATAAAATTGATGAAGCGGTGGACAATGGCCTTTGGAAAGCTGCTAAGCTTACTGCCAATGGTCCACCTCTAACCTATCTCTTTTTTGCAGATGATCTCCTTCTGTTTGCGGAAGTAGAAACCAGCCAAATTCAAGTTATCCAACAGTGCCTGGAAGGCTTCTGCTCTAGTTCGGGACAAAAGGTCAATTTCATCAAGTCGATCGTGTATGTCTCCCCAAATATCCCCCGGCGGAGAGCAGAAAGACTAAGCTGGCAAGGGATCCCCCTCAAAGCGAATCTAAGGTGGTATTTGGGCATCCATGCTATCCAGGAGCGGGTGACCAGATGGAGATATCAACCCCTCCTCCTCCGGATTCAAAAGAAGATGGCGCCTTGGAAGGCTAAACGCCTCTCTTTTGCTGCCACGCTTACCGTGGTCAAGTCATTCACTACTTCCCTTCCCATCTACAGTATGCAGACAGAGCTCCTCCCTACTAATGTCTGCAAGAGCATCGACAAGATCAGTAGGGACTTCATATGAGGAGATGAGACGGACAAGAATAAGATGCATCTAGTAGCCTGGGAGAGATGACCATACTCAAAAGTAATGGACGGGTGGGACTCAGGAATAATAAGGATGCAAATCTACCTATGCTGGCTAAAGGTGGGTGGCGTCTTCTTCAGGAAAAAGATAGCCTTTGGGTTGAAGTGATACGGGCGAAATACGGGAAGCAAAGACAAGGCATGAATATCTTTCGCCCAATTCAGAGAAGTTCCTTCACCTGGGCCAGCTTCTCAAAAGCTGCTTATCTTTTACAAAAAGGGTGTGCTTGGAATATAAAGAATGGTAAACGCACTAAATTCTGGATTGATCCCTGGGTTTTGCAGGTTCCTCTTCGGGAGAAGGCTCTTAGTGACATCCCGAGCGAGCTAGAAGAGGCGCGTGTAGCTGACTTTGTACGTGAGGATGGGAGCTGGAGAACGAAGCTCTTCATCCATCTCCTTCCCACAGAAATCCACCAGAAAATCCTTGGCATTGTCGTTGATCCTTTATCGCAGGAAGAAGACCGAATGTTTTGGACAGCTACCTCAGATGGCAGATTTTCCACGAAGTCGGTGTTCACTCTGCTTACCCTGCACCAGCCGCACCCAGGCGAGAGAGTTTGGAAAGTCATATGGCGCCTTGCAGTCCCAGAAAGAATAAGAAGCTTCATGTGGCTAACTCTTCTTAGAAGAATTGTAACAAATGTTCTCAGGTACAACAGGCGGATTGCGCACACCCCCTTTTGCACGAGATGTACCAACAAGCCGGAAACCATTTTGCACATCCTTCGCGATTGCCCTCCAGCCGCGTTCTTCTGGTGCAGACATGTCCCTTAGCAGCAGCAACAGACCTTCTTCGGCATGGAGCAGGGGAGTTGGCTACGAAACAACCTCTTGAGCGACGCAACGACAGATACAGGGATCGAGTGGCCGAATTTTTTCAGCATGGTGGCATGGCTTTTATGGAAGAACCTCTGCACAGCAACTCTCATGGGTGGATGCCGCCTTATCCTCAGGAACGTTGGAGCATTCCATTACTACGAAAGCCAGGCTATGGCATGAGTCGTGGCTCGCTCCGACTTTGATGCCAGACAATCGGAGCCGCCCGGCGGTGCGACAGCTTGTGAATATCGGCTGGTCACCTCCTTCTGATGGGTGGGTTACCCTGAATATCGACGGGGCTTCTAACGGCAACCCTGGGCCGTCCGGTGCTAGCAGGGTCATCAGGAACTCGACTGGTCAATGGCTGTGAGGTTTTGTGGCAAACATCGGCTCTACCACCGCTGCGATGGCTGAGCTTTTGGCTTTTGACCACGGACTGGAACTCGCTTGGATGCTTGGATACAGATCGCTGAAAGTGAAAAGTGACTCTCAGTTGGCTATTCAACTTATTCAGAACAGAGAAGACCCCATTCATCCGTATGCTACCCTTTTAGCTGCGATTCGCAGGAAGCTTGGTCGGGATTGGTTGGTCAGTATAACTCATGTATATCGCGAAGGGAATAGAGTCGCGGACTGGCTCTCAAAGCACAGTCTCGTCTATCCCTACGGTGTGCATGAGCTTGCGGGCCCACCAACCGGCCTAGCTACGATTCTTCGGGAGGATTGTATTGGTACTACCTTCGAGCGTCGTATAGTGGTTTCCCCTTCCCTCTCGATGTAATCTCCCACATGTAATCCCCTCTTCTTTCTTGGCTTTTGCCTCCTCCTAATGCAAAAAAAAAACTATAAAGTATAATCACAATAACACATGCTTAGGGGGGATTGATGGCTAAATAAATTGTCATGAATTCTTTGCTATGTGATTTTTACTTATGATCTTTAAGGTGGTTCTGCATGTTGAAGCAATAGTTTCACACTATTATGCCAAAAAAAATGACAACACCATTATGTCTAAGATGTTCCTTCTCAACGATTTAATTAACCACTACTTGTGGTTTATCTCAATATTGTTAAGATTGTGCCTATTAATTATCATATTATTTTAACCAATTATTTTTGGCAACGAATAAATATTGTCCTTGAAAATCATCCAATCAGTCAAATAATGTTTTGATTTGATCAAGAAAACCTCCTTATATTATTTTTAGGATGTTAGCATGATTCTATACGACTTAAAATGTAATGTATGTTCATGCCACTAGAACGGTTGGTGATTCTAATAAGTCTCTATCTAAGTGCAAAATAAATTTTCTAATGATATGACAGTCAATGATAGTTCAAACCTCTCCAACTTTTTCACATTGCTCAATCATGTAATAATCATTGTGTGCCATCTTACATTTTCATAAATTAGTTCATATCAGTCAAAGTTAAACAATTCACAAAATTAGCAAGAAGCAAATGTGACTTTTTTTTTATTTAAGACAAGCGTATATACATAAAAATTGTCAACATTCCTATGAGTAATCCATTAGTTTGATGTTTATTTTCAAGCTATATGTTAAGAAATTTGATGTTTTGTTGATATTGTTTATTTTCCAATGCCTATTTAGGTTTTAAAATGAGGTGACTAACTTGCAAACTAAAACAAATAGATTGTAAGGTCCATCAATCTTGTCCAAAATTGTTATAATCGATTTCAAGTGACGCATTTTGGAGATATTTTAGGTTTATTAATCTTCACAGTATTTGTGTTCTCTTCATTTAAGTATTGTCATATATGTTATGAAATTTATTTCTCACATTGGACTTATAATTTCATTGTTTGTTGAAATGTTTGATATTGGACATCGAAGGCAACCTCCAAAGATTAAAAACATGATATTGCAAGCAAATACTTCAAAGATGTGTCACTTTTTGGAATATATATTGGGCAATAATGGGGTCTTCTCATTGATTTCTCTTGAAGGTGAACTTGACCAATCTGTAAATGATAGATGTGGAGTATATGTTCATTCTATTGGAGGTCAAGTATAACATCAAATTTTTGCATGGTACCCCTGAAGGGAACAAACCAAAATTTGTTAAACTCTACACGCATGACACTAGCAATGAGGTCCAAAAACCATTTAAATCCTTTCTTCGTGAATTCTAGGTAAATTACATAAATGTTACATAAAGAGCTATTTCTTACACGACCGTTTTTACATTAGATTTTTGTAATGGGTTATAAAAGAATTTGCAATACACATTTTCTAAAATAACATTTTTATATGAGACTTATGTAACCTCTTTAATCATAAGGGTTATATTGTAGCAAAACAATGGGGTTATTTATGTATGGGAGTACCAAAAAAATGTGTTAAAATTATAAAGTGGATGACAAGTAGGGTGGAGGATTTTGGGCATATACAATTATGCTATTCAATTGAATAGTGAATCTCAATCTAACTTCATGCGGTGAATAAAAATGTTAAATCAGACTTTGTAATTTTGAAGTGCAAAAATTAAGATTGTTTTATTTTTTAGCGGTATGATGCTGAGATACTATTCCAAAATAGTGAAAGAAGAGGACATCCTCCTTACCTTCTCTTACAAATTGAGATAATGGAGTGAAAATACATGAATGACAATAGAAAATTACAAAACTCATATATGAATTAATAGTTTGAAAAATAATCAAATATGGGAAAGAACACATCTCTAACAATTAATTCAAATGACTTGGATGATGTAAATTTATTTGCGTGATAACGATGTTTCATATTTGCATAAGTTTTGGGCCTTCAAATTTGCTAGCAATAAAATGAAGAGAATGACAAAGACACTTTTGATGATGGAGGCATAACGATGTTGTTAAGAAGAAGGAAGGGACATTCGACGGTGGAGATAGTGAAGTCGATAATGAAGATAGTGATTTTGTTAAAGGTTGAGACAATTGCTATTGTTGTTTATACTATTGATGAAATGTACCCGGCCAACGGCTCGGGTGCCATATCTAGTATTATATAGAATAGTAATCAATTGGGGGGTTTGAGATAAGTCAATCTAGTCACGGTTAGTCAGGTTCGGGTTAATCGAATTCGAGTCAATTGAATTGTATGTCAATCGGGGTTGAGTTAATCGGGTTGTGACTCAATTGGATTGTGAGTCGCACAAGTTACAGATAATTGACTTTTGATCAACTCATATTGCTTTTGAGTTAGAGTTGACCTAACGAGTTACTCAGATTGAGTTCAATTTTGATAACTCTTGTATTAACACCATAGCCCTTTGTCACACCCAAGAGCCAACCTCTAGTAACGCTCAAGCCTTGGCATCATGAAGGTGGTTGAGCATTTTAGAAGACCCTGGAAGATTATGGAGACATGTAAAGAATTATGAGGAGTGTGTGGATATTTTCTTGGAGGATTCTAGATGGTAGATATTCGTATTCTAGATACTCAATCTTGACTGTAGGATTAGAGGAATCCATTTTAGAGGTAAGGATTATATAAGCAGCACCTCCCCCTCATTTGTACATATCAAGAAATATTGAGAGCAATACATCTATCAAGAGAGTTCTTCCAATCTTGTAAGCTTACAAGAGTGAGTACTAATATGGTGGAGTTTAGTCCGGTGACACCTTCTCACGATTGCATCCTGCCTTTTTTATATATAAGTACAATTAGTAAATACTATACAGATCGTAAAAACGTACAGTGAAATACGGAACAAAGCTCCCTTTAGCCCTCCCACTTGGAGGAAACAACAACCACCTTCCTGATTGAATAGTCGAGGAAACAAACGTCACGACCAAGAAAGGCAAACCAAAAGGCCTCATTATTGTTCAAATATGTAAATACCACATCTTTATTCTTGATCTACAAGTATCCCCCCAAAGTTAAATTACTAAAAATTACACCCCACACGCTGTAAAAACTCCTCACACATCTCATTCCTTCTTCGGCGACTGCTCGACGCTCCCATCCGTTCCGGCAAGCAGCGCATACTTATCCTTGCGAGTCAACCTCGTACAATCAAACCTCAAAGCATCCCCAAGCACCCTCTGCACATAGTTGGCAACCTCAATTGCTGACTTGCCACCTCCACAGGTCATCTCCTTTGGCAGCTGATCCAAAATCGTGATCTCGAAAGCCGGCACAGGGTTCATGAACAGAAAGTAAGGGTCCAGCAACTTGTACCCACGAGCACTCGTCCCGTAGAAGATGCTCTGCCTCACCTTGACCGCCACCGGCACAATCCTGTCGGTCAATTCAGCGAATAGAGGGCTGAACCTCAGCAGAAACGGTTCCCTACAAGTAGTGCCTTCGGGACAAACCACGATGTCGCCTTCTTCGAGAAGCTTCTTGATTTGAGCAGCATCTTCACCCCGGTCTCTCGTCAAGGCAACAGCTTTAATTGGGGCAATCAACTCTGTGGCTTTGCTTATGCTGTACGTAACACAACTAAGGTTTCTTCCCAGTGCGGCCGCTATCATAGGAGGGTCAGCAACCGTGCGGTGATTGCAGACGAAGAGGACTCCGCTTCTGCCCTTTGCCGGTGGGGGTGGAGGGGTACCGTTGATTATGAGCTTTACCCCAACTAGGCGGGAAGTGTAGTGGACGATGCTCATTGGCAGAGGTACGCTGTGAAAGAGGCGTACAAAGGAGAGAAGAACCCCGATTGGGATCCATAAGAAGGTTAAGAGGGCAACTAATGGAGTCGGTCTTTGAACCAACCGGCCATCATGGACTATGACTGGGCTTCGGAGCTTCTTTCTTGGTAGTGGCTGGCACTCAGTTTTTGGCACCATGTAACCCTCCTGCAAGCAATAGAAAGTCGGCTGAAGTTGTGGTAGAGTTGTTCTGGCTCGACAAAAAAAAACTCCAATTTTGATCTCATCGGGAAAAAGGCATCTTTTTCTCAACCTAGCAAAATATTGAAACAAGCACAAGCACAGAAATATGAAAGTGAGGCCTTTCGAGATCTGACCTTGCACAAGACCATGAAAGGGTGATCAGAGGCTTCATCTCCAAGACTAACGTCGGGTAAATTTGAGCCGAATTCCTTTATCACGGCATCGCTTTTCTGCCGTCCCACCATAAGTCCAGGTTTTGCAACGAAACCAGTAGCCCTGCCTGTCCCTGTGATCTGTAACTCTGTGCCCAGAACTTTGTCAGCCCCCAGAAACATCTTGGCAAACGGTTCGACCATGACTCTAGGACTGGTACTAATTATGTATCTTTTCCCAAACGAATCAAACACTGGCCAAGTGTCTGGATGGACATCATCTGCATAGAACCTAGGCAAGACGGATCTGGAGACAAGTTCAATATCTCTCAACCTGAGTCCAGCAAAGGCTATGAAAATAATCAGCTTACTTGCCGCAGCCTCCGAGACAAAAATGGACACCAAGTAGACGACAGGTAGTGATGAGAGAAGTATAATTGCTCTTAGCAGGCTTCCAGCTTCGAGAGCGATGAGGAGATAGTAAGGGAAAGAGCTTGATGACAGTAGGAGAGTGCCTTCTAGATCTGCTGCAACTGTCTGACTGGAACGTTCCTCACTGCTACATCCTGCCACTGATGCAAAATTGGGATGAGTTTCCATAGCAGGAAATAAGGAAGAGAGAAGAAATTATTATGGATGAGAGATAAAAGCAAATTATGGTGTATGCAGGGGGGATACTAGGGTCATAAATAAGAGGAGGTGACAGATTCACCTAGGAATTAGTGTTCAATACGAGTAAAGCTAATAATGAACCAGCATAAGCTTGGTAAGTGCAAAAAAAAAAAAAGAACCTTGATGCTCTTTCTCTTCATCTTTACCTGAAGATCCTACGTCGCTTTCCCCACATCACGTTGCATTATCAGGCGGGGAATGCCAGAAGTTATGAGCTGCTCAACATGAGTAAAAGTTAAAAATCTAATAAGAAAGCGGACAGAATTCATTGCTCAAGCAATATAATACAAGCCAGCATGTCTGTTATTTTTATGCATACAGAATTGGACCTTTGACGAAAAGAATAAACCATTTACCTAGTCTGCACTCTGCAGGCATTGCCACCAACATTTCCCTTTTGCCTTTGATAGAAAGATCGCAACCGCCTTCTCCCATCCGTCTGAGAAAAGGCATCTGTACAGACTTGCGGCTTTCCCCGCTTGGGAATTGGAGGACGGAAATCGTCTGTTTGTGCAGCCTTAAAAACAGATGGCACCATACATCCTATTTGACAATCACAAGGGCATCTTTCATTTTTTTTAATTAAAATGTCAAGTGCTGAAACATGCAATTCGGCTGATGCAAACAACCAACCAGCACATAATCACATTGTTGGATCGCCGTATTGTGTAATATTCAGTCAATGACATCAACAAGCACCAAACATGCTAGCGCAATTCTCTACCATGAAAAGGGATTATAAAAACTATCAAGGGAGTTTAATCAATCCCGGACCCAACTACACTTTGTCCTACGTAGGGGTCTTCACCACTCCGTTTGAAGCCGAAGCCAATGAAACCCAGCACTTGACGACAAACTAATGCTCTGACCAAAAATTTCCTCGACTTAAATGATCTCCCGAAAAACTAATGCTCTGAAAACTAACAAGAATGGAACAGTTCGTCCCTTCCTGTCCCACCGTCCTTGAAATAGGACAGTTAACGCTATTTTGGCCCTTGCCCTTTCCCATCTACATAATACTTCTATCACTAAAGCCAGAAGCTACTGCAAAAGGTAAGACCATCCACACAACATTTCTATCCTCAAAAAGATATTAAAGACAGTAAGCTAGTCCTTAAACTGCTTGCACAAAAAAGAAAAAACAAGACCCTAAAGACCAAGCGCCATCCATTATTGTACATAATTATGAATTTCTTACTTCAACAATACCGATTCAGTAAGCACTAAACATTTTTCACTGAGCTGATAAGCGTTTTGACATCTCTTACCTCATAGAACTGTTAACAACTTTATGCAAGATCAAACATTCTACAATTACGAATTAAATACAAATGCTTTCCTTAAAACAGATTAGAGGCAGTTGGAACTATAAATGATACGATGAGTTACAGGTAACTGTCACAAGTTTTGCATGTCAAAATCCCTTACTTATCCATCACAGTTAGTCCAGCACCAGAAGAAGCAGCTTTAGGGTCACTATCTTCTGCCTGCTGTACGGTGGGTGATATGAAAGATGGAAAGGGAAAACTTCTAAAATAAAACACATATAGCAACTTGTTGATTCGAAATAGTTACCAGTCACTACTGAAATAATCTTGAGTTCCACACCAGCTGCAGCTCTCACGAAACAGAACAACATCATAAATCAATCAAGCAAGATTTAAGATGGGGGAAGGAAAGCCAACACCCAACAGATGGATAGAGCTGACGTTTCTCTTCGGAAGGCAAATGCCCAAATCAAAATACCAAATTGGCCTAGAGCGAACAATATGAGAAATTTGGACCGGACCACTGCGGTAAAACTCGCTTCGATGACAGAAAGCCAAAATAAAGATTATAGTACAAACGAGGAAAAGGATTCAACTGACTACAAGTGGCTCCATGCAAATAGCATTCTATAGGCTGCAATTCAAGGAATTGTGACAAGTTAGAAGTTGGACGGGCCTTATGTTTGTTTGAGTGGTCTAATCACACCAGCATTTCAACCTTATCTGTGGCATCGCTCAGAAGTAGCATAATGGTTAGACTGTTTTGGTGGTTGAAAAAAGAACTATAACTAGCTTTTAGTTCTACAGTTGGGACTTAGTTCAAAGGTTAAACAAACGAGGCCAGAAATAATTATTACAGTAAGAGTTAGTAAAGATGATCATTATAGTATCCAGAAAAAAACTCTTGCAAGTTTCCAATTGTATGTATAAATAACTCTAAGAACAAGACAAAGAAACACTGAGAATACAGCAAAAGCATACAAATGAAGTGAGGAATATACAAGGATGAGGAACATACTAACCTAGAATACCCAACAAATGAAGAAAGCAATTCAATGAAAGCCTCCTTTGAAACCCCAAATCTCCATTGCTACCAAAAGTTCTTTGATTCACGAGGAAACAGCTACTGCATCAGAAAGATTGGAGCTTTCCCAAACTTCAATTCCTTCCACATCTTCCCTACTAACAAACAACCGATTCCCACCTCCTTCAATTTTCCTGATGATCCCTTTCACTGAATCCTCCACTTTATCCACATAATTCCTTCTGTACATATCTTCTGTAATCGCTCTGCCTCCTTCCACCTCTCCGAATTCCCTGCTTCCTTCCTTCTCATGAACCCTTGACCAAACTTCCAAAGCCCCATCTCTCCCTACAAAAACTTGACCCTTGTAGCAATGCAATACATTGCTGACTCCAGGCTCCCCAGTGTATCTCATACTAGGGTTTTTATCTTCCAAATACACCCATGGATCATCCCCCAAATGTCGGATATCAGCTACAGCCACATCTCCGGATTTGGAACAGACCTTGAACAGAGTTGACTCCTCGACGTCGACCGCCGCGTCGGCGAAGGAATCCCCGAACCTGCTGCTCCGTCCAGAACCTGGCTCGTTCGTCTCCCAAACCACGTCCCCAGACCTAGGGTCCCAGATACGGATGTAACCGGAGTAACCGAACGCACCAGAGGTAACTGCCGTTCCAATTATCACGCCCGTCGTCGGCAGCCACGTCAGCTTCCCTGGGACGATGTTCTTGGCTTGGCTACCGGATTGCCTTCCGATCTCCGACGCAACCTGGAGCGTCGTTTTGTCTACTAGTAGTATACAGTTCTCCCTGTGCGGGCAATCGAAAGAGGCGAAAACATTATCCGGTGAGCTGGTGACTGCGGTGACTCGGGCTTTGTAAATTCTCGGATCGGACGGGTCGGTCCAGTGTGTTGACCCGATGTGGCGGGAGCTGGAGAAGTTGTAGAAGTGAAGCCCGGCGGAAGGCTCGGATCCAACAGCGGCGACGTCGGGCCAGACGCGGCAGATTGAGGTGATATCGTCGAGGTGCGTGCGTATGGTGGAAGAATGAGTGAGGTTCCAATCGTAGGCCGACACCTGTCCGCCGTGGGCAATCCAGATGGAGCCGTCGTCAGCGGCGGTGGTGAAGGCGGAAGGGAGCCCTTCGGAAGCAGGCCGAATAGTCTCAACGACGGATGCGTCGATGCCGGACAACGGGGGAGGAGCCATGGCCAATCGGAGCTGCGATTCGATGCCATAGTAGGCGGCCTCTTCGGCGAGCTCCTGCTTGGAGAATCGGCGGGCTGTGGAGGGGAGGCGATTGGAGCGGAGCAGGGAGAGGAAGACGGAGAAGATATCGGGATCGCGGTCGATGAAAACCGGATCCGGGCCGGGGCGAGTGGAGAGAGCAGCAAGGACGGAGTCGGGACCGCTGGACTGGAGAGTGGAGACGGTGGTCTGGAAGAGCTTGCCGCCGACGTTGAGCTTGATGCGGTGGCCGCCTCCGCCAGAAGCGGGAGGCTGGAAATTTCCGTTTTCCATGAACGGGAGAGACGGGTTGGGGTCGGGTGAGGGCGGAGGTGGAGGTGGAGGAGGATCCGACAGTGGAGAGTTGTGGGATTGGGAGTCTACTCTGCCGGCCGATCTGGCTGGGCTGTCGTCATTGACTTCCTTATCCTTAGTAGTCCGACCTACGAAATCACGTTCGGCCTAACTAGCTTAATTGAGAAGCCTAAATGGCTAAATGTCTATAGGCTATAGCCATCGTGCTGAAACGACAATGCGCTCCGTAATAGCAGAGCCCATCTCACATTTTATTTATCTCACAAATAATCCCCTCCAATTTGCCGGACGGCCCAGTGAATATTTTAAGTCCGATACTACACTATAAAAAGCGAGGCACCCATAACGTTGTATTTGATTAGTTTATGTGGTTGTGCTGTGGCACAGGCCGAGTTTATTAAACCCAATCAAAATTAGATGGGCCATAAGAATTGGCCCCGACGGTCACACCTAATGTAAAGAAAAAGCTTCTTTATCCTTTGCAAGGAGACGAAAGTCAAACTTTCCAAGGTAAAGGAGACGAAAGTTTAATTGAATTAATAAAAAACTAAAAAATGCAAAGGACGGAGAAGCTTTTCCGTTACTTTGGGTGTGACCGTTTGGGCAAGTTCTTATGGATCATCCAATTTGGATCGAGTTTAATGAACGCCGCTTTTGTCACATCACAGTCACATGGACCAATCAAATAAAGTGTCACCGTTGTCGCACTTTTTATAGCGGTATCAAACATATTTTAAAACTAAAGTCGTCTCCAACTAAGGTCTAAGGGTGGACATTTGTGACCCCACCAATACTATTGAGATTGAATATGCGTCGTCGTCCAATTAAGATGCGGGTGGATTATATATTTGATTAGATAAAAATTACTATTGCCTAGCGAGAGCATCAACTCTATGTTTCTCGTGATACTGAAATAGAGCACCCCTTCTGCTTTTGACTACTGCCATATGTAATTGGACTCAACCATAGGAATTTAGTCAAAGAAACTCTATCTTTCATACGTTGAATGAAAAATCAGTCCATCGAAGCAAAGTCCACACAAAATTGCAGTAGATTTATAGAACTTTCTATTTGTTAATGATTCAATGCTTCAGTGTCTATTTAGTGGTTTCCGCAAAGATCTGGGTCTCTTCTTCTGAAGACGTCGGCGTTTGCATCCTAGTTTACCTCCATTCTGCTCCAGTGTGTCCTGCATCTCCTCTGCCAAAACTGGGCTTCCAAAAGTTCCAAACAAATATACACGTACAACAACCTAGGCCGCGCAGTAGTGTGGCAAGAACCCGAATGAGTACATATTGAATAAGCCAAGTGAGATCGCCTTTCAAAGAGGCAAGTCCGGTTGGACTAAAAAGGAAACCTTGGTGTTTCGGATTAACCAAACTGCAACCGCGAGGTGCAAAAAATTAAGACTAGAAGTCTGACGCTGCAGTTTCGTTTGATCGCAAAGATGGTTTGGTTTAAAGCGGTTTGACCATACCAATGCCCACCTCTCTTCAACCCTAGTTATTCAAAATGGAGAAATAGGGTTTTTCTCTTTGTCCCGCTCTAACCCACCCAAAACACCTTCCAATTTTGGAGGCAGCTAAATAATAGTATTTGTTATTTTCATGTGCTATGGTAAGAAACAGGCAGACTAATGTAATAAACTAAACGCGAGACAAGTCTTATTGATTAAAGAAATTAACCGGTGCAAACTCATCTTGGAACATGAAATACAGACTATAAAGCAACAATTATTTCCATACAAATTCCAAACATGTTTAACCAAGTCATTACAGAGAGTATAATGTGTTGTTGCAGAACAAATCCTATTATTTCTAGCCAAATACTCTATCGAAGTTGAAATGTGTTTGTTCACAGGTTGATGTTGTTCATGGACCTCATAATTAAGGTCGCCTTGCATCTCATCGTCTGAATCAACTTGCTCATCCTCGAAGTCCTACCCACTCAGGTAGTTCCTTCTGTAACACCCCACCCATAATCTCTATGGTTGAACACGTGGTTCAACTGCGCAGGAAATTCATTGGTGTTACTGGTTGAACTCAATCATCTCAAACATCATATCTGATAATTAAACACAAGCATAAACCGTTATCATACAAACTCATTATTCGAACCCCAACCCACTTGTTAAATTTTACAAAATGTGGGTTTATTATTCAAAACACTCAAAGCAGAAATCCTAGGTGACCATGACAGAACAGTGTTCCAAACTACCTCATGATGGTAGTACAGAAGGATAGGGCAGCCTCAGTAGTCCGATCCTAGCTAGTTGCACCTGCGAGCCTGAAAACAGCTGTGGGTCAGCAACTAAGCTGTGTGTCTGGATCTTTCCCACGACCTAATTTTGGGACCGCAATCAGCTAATCAAACAGTCATAATTAATTGTAATTTAGTACTCTAGATACCATCTTAAATCATCATATATAAATCATCATCACAGAATCAGTTCATCCAATAAGATGATTACATAGTTTCACGAACACATAGTCAATGCATGATATGAAAATTCAGGATAATTATTAATGGAGCCAAGGTCACCATAGACTTACCCCCGCTCAAGCAAATCATCATTCGTGGTGCTCATGCAACCAAAATACTCGCAGATGCGAGCTAGATCTACCCAAACCCATAATCATCTGGGGGTAAAAGTGCAGACCCTTTCTACGTCTATGTGAATTAATATGATCACGAATCAAACAATTTCATTTCTCTCATCCATCACAAACGATCCGGAAATTAATTTTTACCGCTTGGTACGAGTTTATATGCAGCCTGCAGCAGCGACGGAGATTTGATTTATGAAAGAGGCTGGAGTATTTTGTACACATAAAATTCCATATGGTCTAGTGGTTTGGGCAGTTGTCTGCCCTTAAAGGTTAGCAAGGTTACATGTTGGATTCTTGGCAGCCCCTTATTTATTTTTATTGCATTTTTTTAGGCTCGGAGAGTTTGAAAGTGGTTTCACTGATCCTATCTCGTATAGGAAAACTTCTAGATTTTTTTCCAACCTCGAAACGTACAATATACGCCCGCCATTTGAAGAAAAAAAAATTATTCGTGTTTCTAGATGTTACACCTTCATTCCTAGTGCATACAGTCAATTGATCCAATCATCGTGGCTCGACTCTAACTACACATCCCAATCGAAGTCCAAGCATAACCAATGATCGGGTGTGGTATAGGGTAAGCAAGCAAGAAAAATATCGAACCTCGGGTCTCTAGGTGTACCTTACTTTGGGTTATGTTTTGTAATCTAGCCAAACAAGAATAGTGATTAAGAAACTAATCTAAGTACACTAACCTAACCACTAACCTAGCTAATTACAAGTTATGCAGGTCTCTTAATTTGAATCCCCCTAGTTCTATCATTTCGATTGATGTTTAGTACTATCCTAACTCGATCGACTCACTACCCCAACGTTAAGAGATCGAATCACTCTGGATTGACCCAGAACAACAAAGTGATGGATGGGTAGGTGCTCTATTCAGCATAGGCCAACCCATATCATTAGGAGATCGAGCGAATAAACTCCCTCAGCGATTATCCGAATGACATATGATAGAGAGATCCTAAGACGCCAATAGTGGGCTCTAAGGGGATTATCTCCCTCTTAGATAAAAATCTCAATGAACATGAAGTGGTGTAAAAAATCATGAAATCCATGAAACCATCCATTAAATAGATATATTAATCAATAAAGCATATAATATGTCGCATACATCAACTTCAAACCAAGTCTAGACCCAGGGTTCATCAATCTAAGAGAAGAGGTCTAATTCATGGAGAGAAGAGAGAGATTACAAAATACTTTAAGATCTTCATCTTCATATTCTAGGCTAGAGTCCTTGACTTCACCCAAGAATCCAATTAAGCTCCAAAATCACTCAAGACCTCTCTCTAAAATTGACTGTTTGGTGTTTTGGGTCGGAACCCTAAATAAGAACCCTAAAATCCCAAACCTAGCCAAGGTCTCCTTTTTCTCTCCCAGATGCTGCCTCATTTACACATCCCGAGCGCCAACATCACAGTCTGAGATCACAACTCTGATCTCGACAGCCCGATCGTGATATCGTCCGAAGACGTACCATTTTGGCTCCTACTTCACGGCCTGCTGGTAAAGATCATGATCTTGAGACCTTGACCTCGACTCCACCCACGAGGCATAGAAACCTTCTTGTTCATTAGAAAACTTCATAGCCCACAATCAATGTTCACGGGCTAGGGCCGTGATAATTTCTCTAAGCCCGTGATTTAATTAGGGTTTGACCACCGTTGAAATAATCTCACCCAAGATGACGGATAACAACAATAAGAATCAACTCGACACAACTGGACCAACAATAAAAATAAATAAGGAAAACATCTCATCCACCTCCTATACCTTATACTCCTCTGAAACCCTAAACCCTCATTACCCTCATTTCCCTTGAATAGCTATCTTCAACCTCGATTCATCCAATCCTACTAGGAAATTATTTTAGAGGCAAAATCATCTCTTCCTCCACTAACAATAATATTTCGTCTCGTGGAAATATACGTGATAGGCTCAAGAAACTCCTAGTTACCACTCCCAGAGCCCTAAAAACACCTCGATGAAAGTTTTGGCACTATTCATCTCTTTTTGTCGGGAATGTCCGATTGATAAACAATCGATTCCAACAAATTTGTATCCACATTTTAAGAGATCGATGAAAGTTTCAATATTTTTTCATATCGGTGACTCTAGTAATTGCTAAAAGATGTTTTTGCCCTACCTTCCCCGAGCCGCAAAGAGTCCTCTTCGTGCCTCGATTCCTTGGAAGTTTTATAAAACATAATTTAGGTACGATGATCTTATTAAATATGAAATAAATACAATTAAAAAAATTTAATCAAAAGATAAATATTTTATAACTATTCTACATAATTAAAATGAATTATTCATAAGTTTATACAATATTTATGATAATTTATGATTAATATCCATTCTCTTATA